ATCTTACCAGGCCACTCGAATCTGTTTGGCGTTGAATATGCAGAGGAGAAGGACAAGAGTAGCTGGGGTGGGAGCACTGATGTGAGAAGTGATAATAAAAAGGAAAGCAATTAGCATTAGTGAAGACAACAGTCAGCAAGCCAGCAACCAGAAAACAGCTCTGGTAAGAGAGAGCTGCTTTCTAATCAGAAGAGACAGAAAGCAAGAGTGATTGAAACGGGGAATTGATCTGCCCATTATTTTTACTACTTCCTTTTAAAATTAAGCCATAGGCCATTTGGACTTGCATGCAGTTTCTCTCTGTCCCTGGTGCAGGCAAATTGTGGTGTACTGATTTAGTACCTTAATTAACAAACAATCTTTCTGTATTTTTCCCTTGAAAATGAGGGGAAAATAAGATATTGTTACAACATTTCTTCTTTGTTACTCATAAGGTTTTTGCATGCCATCAATTAAAATCACAACTAAAAAGATACACAGAAGCTATCATTTAAATTAGGCCAAAGTTTTAAAAACGCCCTGTAAGATTTTCCATGTCAGAATAATTCAATCACTGCTATGTTTTTTTTTTGATGCAACTATTTTGGGACTTGGCTTGTTGCTTGATAGGATTTTAATTAAGTCATTTACATTTAATTTCCAAATATGTGGCTGTTACAGAAGGCAGGAAATTAAAAAATAAAAAAAAAAGAGCCAGAAGACAGCCAGTCTTTAACAAAAATATTTCTGATATAAAAAATGAATCTGAGGAATACATATTCAGCGATAAGTATTCCAGTCCATGTCTGGTAAACTCTCAGATAATGGCAGCACGGCAGGGTCACTGGGGTTCTATTAGCTCAATTAATGAGGAGTAAGATAAGGCTAACACCTAGCTCTTCAAACGGCTCAAAAATAGAGCTGGTAGTAATGGAGTTATTAACCTTCACCAGCCATTGAATTTTGCTGCTGATTCAAACTCCATTTCCTAGTTCAGGCCTCCATTAATAGGCTGTTTATTATCCCTAATCCACACTGGGATCAGCTGCAGAAATATGAAAGCCCCAGGTAAAGACCAAATAGTTTAAAAAAATCTTTTTTTTTCCCCATTCTGATTTTTTCCTTTTGTTCTCAGCATATCCACGTATGCTACGTTAGAAATGGGGAACTTCATTACCCTAATCTGTTTGGATACAAGTTCTTAGTAGCCTGGTGAAAAAGAAGCTTTAAATCTATTATGTGAAAAGATCATATAATTGGAGATACAGCCACATCCTTTTGAAGACCAGATAAAACAGCACTGGAAAACTTGTATTGGAGAAGCTACTGCTGTTTGTTTTCTCCACTGGGAAAGAAAAACCTTTAGTATTGGAAAAATGGGTATTTGAAGTATATTGCACACTTGTTTCGTTGTACTGCTACATCATCCCTCAAGTTCAGCATCCCTCCCCAGCTTTGTCTGTCCGCATGGTGTATGGCTGGGTGAATTTTCTGCTTATTAGATGAGATGGGAACTGACAACGTTGTTATCTGCCTAATAATGAAGTCTGTGGGTACTACTGTAACATAATTAATCAATACTGAGATGTAAAACAATCAGCCCTGGATTCAGCAGAGCAAATGGGAATCTCAGGACACCCTTAGAAGTAGCCCCCATTGGAACACATGGAAAGATTGGTTTTATCATCTTGAGGGGAACTCCAACTCAAACTAGACTATAATTTTAACTACAGAGATCTTGAGTTAAAGGGTCCTCAGGCTCCTTCTTGCTGAGTTTGTACACTCAGTTGAGATTGGTTACACTTTGTCATTTTCCAGTATGTTCTCAATGAAGGAGACACTGTATAGGTACCACAATCTAAACATGAGATATTATTCACAAATGTATCACAGAAACATCTAATGGAATATGAGTGGTTATTGATGGAGATAAAATAAAAATGTATTTGTGCCTCTATATCTACATATCCAGTACACAGCACTGTGTTGAAAGCTGAACGTGGTTCTGGTTGTCCCATCATAGAAAAGGAACAGCTGGAAGAACTACAAGAAGAGAGGAGTGAATCAGCACCATCAGAAAAGTGAAATGACTTCCAAAAAAGGAAAGGGTAAACATGTCAAGATCCTTTACATGGGAACTTAGGCTGAACTGGGACATACAAGAGGATTAAAACAGGAGTGTGAGGAGAGGGTGCACAGGAAATACTTACAACTGTTTCTTTTTACAACCCAAAAAAGCCCTAGCAAAGCATTTTCATATAACGCCAAATTAACAAGTGAAACCCATTCCTACTTGGTTGAGGTCCAAAGCACAACGTGTTGAAGAAGCTATAAAGTCAAGAAAAAAGGGTTGTTAGACGTAGCTGATCAGATGAGCCTCTAGCTCAGGGCATCTGTAAACTGCTGGTGGCCACAAAGTGGTCTGGAACCAGCAGACAGCTGCTCATGAATGAGCTGAAGCTAATGACCAGAGAACAATAACAGATGAGATTGTTGCTGCTGAACTGTGTTTTATCTACACTGGGAGGGAGCAGAAAGAGACAAGAAGGATTTTGCAAAACATTAAGTAGAGTTTTCTTAATATTAGAACTGCCCAGCGCTGTGCTTTGGGTTTCCTCTTGTTGTTGCTCAAGCATTAACAATGAACAAAGCTAAAATGCCAATTTGTGGTCATGCGGATGAGGAACTGCATTCAGCCTCTTGCCTTAGAAGTTCTGAGCTTCAGGTGGCAACCTGTAATTGTGCTTGGAGTCCCACTTGCTGCAGTCACTAAGTGGTTAATGCTGTTCTTTTGCTGGATAGCTGTGAGACCACTAATGGATTCAGCTTCTCATTTGCCCTAAAGGCTGCCACAGTTCAATGCGATGAGGATCCTGTCCACTTAAGCAGTACTGCTTCGTGGGGAAGAACACAGAAAGCAGAACCAGGCTCTTCTCTGAGTACAGGAAGAGGAGTTCTCTGGTAGACAAGTTTTGTCTGATGCAAAGGAGATCTTCCTGCACCAGCCCATCAGCCAGCCTTTGCTCTACTGCAAATTCTAATTTAAACAAAACCTCACACCTTCCTCATTCAGTAGAAGATGAATTATTGTCCTTTTTGTTCCAGGGCAGTTCTTTGGATGCAGTGGCTGACTCCCTATGAGTTTTTTTTATTGTTACATTTTAACAAACTTTATGGCCCATTTTGTTTGTTTTCAAATAACTTTATTTTCCTTCTTTTCTACCATCAATTACTGGGTTTGTTTTTCTTTCCATAAGATGGAGGAGTCAGGAGACTGATCCTGCTCCATGCTGTATAATTTAGTATTATGTGTACCAGCTTTATGAGGTGGGAGTCAGATAAAACATAGTATTTGAACACTAACCATTTATTAGCTCTAAGGAATAGATTTATGACTTGACAACCAGACAATAACTCTGTGTTCTGATCAGCCAAAGAGGTCTACTTTGAGTTCAAAACACAGAGTAACATACTCTTTCACAAATAATTTTGTTTACTGATGTGACTAGATTTTAATAATAAACTTGATATATATGTAAATTTATTTTAATCTAATTTCATCAACAGAGTCCTCCTAAAAATGAGACTTTGCAGATTGTTCCGTGTCTGATTTATAGATTTCTGCATCCTATTCCCAGATTGATTTCAGGGCTATAATTCTATCAGGGTTTTCTCCTGATGTCAGAAACACCACCTCTGCAGATAGTGTTTTATAACTAGCATCACAACTGCAACTGAATTACTGCCCTGCTATCCTATGCTGCAATATGTCCTTTTGTTTATAATCACCCTCTCTCCCTCATACACCTACTGCTTCAGCTGCACGGAAAATAACAGCTCCAAAATCAATCAGGTAGCACGATGCCTATTTTTGTCCCCTACTCCAAGCCCTGTGTAAAACAGTAAGGGCCAAATTCTTGACTCAGATCTGAATGCGCCTTGCTCTTTAAAGAAAATGGAGGCTGAGGAAATGGATGAGTGCCAAATTTCTCCATGGAAGATCTCAGAACGAGTTGTTCTTTCTCACTTGATGAGGTCCCAGCCCTGTGAAGGAGCACCCTGCGCACACTGGAGCATTCACAGTGATCTCATGTGCTCAGACACTCGTTCAGAGACTGCGGATCTACTTTTTAAGTGCACAGGAAGAATAATCCACGGGAAATGCTATTTAATTGTCACTAGCATTGCTACCAAGATTCTTTCTCCACTTCTTTCACGACAAAGGCAGCCACAGAGAAGACACAGGAAGAATACCCTCACCAACTTAAACACTTTTTCCACCATTAGTTCTTAGATAGAAACAAGTTTTTAGAAGCTCAAGGACCACGTATTTCCACTGTGTGCCTTGGGAGTGGCCATCATGTCACCCAGTTGCACAGACTGAACCAGGAACTCCTGGAGCAGAATGGAAAAGCTTCTCAGCATAGATAAGTCTACCAACATTTCAAATGCTCACCACCTTTGGACCAGCTGTGAAGACTAACCCCTCTGTATCTGCCTGTATTACAAGTTCTCTTTTGATGCTCATTTCTCCTCTATTGCATTTCTGAACAATGCTTTATGGCTCAAATAAAATATAATTCTCATGTTGTCTTTAATTATTTCACAAAACCCAAAACTCTCATAACGAGTCCTTGCAGTACTAATATATTCCATGATATTATGCCAGTGCTAAAGCAAGAGGATGTCAATCCCCCTCCTGCTGCAAATAAAAATACACCTCCTGATGTAATCCAAACTTTAATCCATTTCTTATGGTTTTATGGCGTGCCTTTAAAAGCAACTCAGACAAACGAGCGGAACAACTTCCCCTCTCTTCCACAGTTTAGCCATCTGATTTCTAATTTGTAAGGCTTTGTAAGGCCAATGCTCTATTTCCAGCTCTTTAGAATGAGACCCCCTTTCTAGATATGGAAGGAATAAACAGAGGAGTTGCAGCTGCCTACGTAATGTCAGCAAAGATTTGTATATCTCCACAGGCTTATTTGCAATGTATGTAATGTGCTAAATATATATCTTACCTGTTTGGAATAATACATGCTTTTTGCAGCCTCTCTGCCTGCTCTATGTCCCTCGGGAAGCCACGAAGCACCCAGCCCTTGGTCATGCAGTCTGGTGCATTCAGGCGTCTCTCCAGGATCTTCATAACCGTGTTGTCTGGGACTGCAAAGGATTACAAAGATGACATTTCTTTTGTACACTGAGTCTGCAATTAAAGAGGCAAGCATGCCACTGCTTCTGGTTAAAAGGAACAACAAAAACAGAAACGTGTTTACAGATGATGGATTTTGGAGACAGGATCTTTTCGAGCCCGCGCATCTACTGTGCTGTCACAGAAACCCCCAGATCATAAGAAACCATAGGATTACAGCAAGTGTTTGGTGAGAACTGACACCCAGATAGTTCTGCCTTCTCCTTTTTCTCTCATATTGGGATGATGTCACAATGAAGTGTGTGACATAATCTTATAAAAATGCAAAAATAATGACCTGATCCTAAAATCAGGGGGAAAAACAAACGTCTGCAGCATTCTGTATTTAACTTTGGAGATGATAATGGTTCTGCAATAGCAGGCTGGATGTGCTACTTCTCCATTTTGCCCAAAGGCTTGAAGCTTTTACAACCAAAAATACACTTCCAAAACGTGTGTCAACTACTGTGGTTACAGCACTGATGACTCCAATTTTAGAGACAGAAGTTTTCTTTCCTCTGTTATTATTTATCTTTTAGGCAAGAGAGTAATACCTGCAAGAGCTTGGCTGGGCTTACAATCACCATGCAGCTTTTTAAATTCTAGGTAATCATACACAGGAGGTATCCTGCATAACAGACCCCATAAAGTAAAACATTTGTACTGTAAATATTTTTACCATTTTTAAACAAACTGGAGAATTCAGTAACCAGCTTCAATACCAACGACTTAATTTTCCAGAGGCCTTGAATTGTGTTGGGATTCTTGTCAAATAATGCAAAGAAAGGGCAGCAAAACCACCTCCAGCCACATCCCACAAAGCAGCCAAAGTGATCTGCAAGAAGCAGTGAGAGTCTCTCCTCTTCATTTGTGCTCTGTGTTTAATACACTGTTGCCTCTACTGGAAGCAAGCAATAAAAAACGCGACATAAATCCACATGGTGGGATGCTGATGTTCTGATACTCGCCCTGCCATCACATCTGCATACAGAAATACAACAGGTTTTTGTAGGAGGGTGTGTGTGTCAGATTTCTGACAATGCAATTTGCTTTAGGACTGACTGACAGCAGCGTGCCTGTGTTTAGAGGAGCATATTATTATTGTCAGTGCACGTTTACACCCTGGATACAAGCTGGGTTTGAACTGCAGTAATAGAATCCATTTGCTCCCTGAAATTTAATATTTCCTAAAGACTTATACCTCTATCATGAAATTCATTACCTCTCCTTTAAGTAATCAAATTACTGAGTTTACAGAATTGCACTCAGAATTCAATGTACCAGCAAAAATGGAGGAAAACCACAGGGAATTAATTACAAAACAGATTAGTGTATTAACTGAGGGTACTCGTTTCACATTATTAAAAACAAACAACAAAAGGAAACACAACCAACCAACCAAAAAACCCAACAAGATAAAGAGCGCTATTCTCCATCTGCTAAAAGAAAAAGAGAAGGTATGGAATAAAATCATCACCAGTCACTTGACAGGGGGTAAAATGACAGTGCAAAACTCGGCATTGCATTAAAAATGGGACTGATAAAACTAACAGCAGGTGGGAATGTTATCAAGCAGTGTTACCTATCTAACTACCCAAGAGCTGAGCTGCAGGCTGGGAGTAGCAGCAGCATTGCAGAGCTGTCTGCAGGTCAGCTCTTCTCCCCGCCCTCCAGGTTTCAAGATCTAACACAAAACCAAGCCATTCCAGTAGGAAAACAAGAACAAAATCCCACCTTCTCTTTCCTGAAAACGTATTCCCATGCAAAGATGGGTGGAATTTCCCCAGTACTCATGAATTTCTGGCTGTGACGCCAAACTTTCAGTCTCCACTCACATTGTTTTGTCATGATTCCCGCTGGAATGGATGTAAAGATGCCAAAACGTGTGATTTTTGAAACTTACAGAATGCTTAAAGATGGTTGTGCAAGGGAAATGAATGAGGCCCCCAAAGCCATGCATAAACCCATGCTAAGGTGAGACTGCATGATCCCACATTCCCTGCAAGATGAACTCCAGGGAACTGGGGCAAGAGCTTGGAGCCCTGGAATGGCACAGAAACACAAGTGGGTGCACTCTGCTGTTGGGCTGCCAGCACATCTTCAGAGATTCTCCAGTTCCAGGAGTCAAACTGCTCCCATCCTGCATAAGGGGAGGAGAAACACCACAGCCTACAAGCAGTTAAAATGCAACTGTGATGGGAACCATCTGACTCATCTGATCACTTCCCATTAGTCTTCTATGAAGCCTGAGGATGAAAATCCTCCCGTTTTGTGACTGCTTTTGGAAAAAGCACTGAAGCCAACACAAGAGGGAAAAAAAATCAATCAGGTTGAAGTAACAATTAATTAACAATACAGCCAACAATACACCAGGTTGATGGGTCTTTTGAGGAGTACTGGGGATTACGTGGTAACCCTGATATCCTGCTAATTTTGGTGATGACTGATGAGAAGAGATCAGCAATACTGTTCACATTGCTTGTGTGCCCACGTACATCCATGTATCAGTGAATAATATAGATGCTTACATACTTCTGTGCCTCCTTCTAAAGCTTGATGGTGAGAAATAAAACATAAACAAGTCAGACAGCAAGCTCTGCTCTCCTCTTGATTAGCAAACATACCTATCACTTCAACACAATGGGGGAACATAGCTTGTTGGCTGTTCAATGGCATTACAAAGTACATCAGCTGCCCTTGAACAGGAACAGCCGCACTTAAAACGGCTGCATTAAAACTGTAAAACATCTTCCACAGGCCAGAGAAACAAAAAAGGGGGAGGAGGGGAGAAAGAAATCAGTATTTTGCCGTGGTATAGACAGTAAGTAATGAAGAACGCTGCAGTATGGTATTTTTATTCCTTTTCACTCATGTGGAACTGTCTCTGGAATGCAAGGGAAATTAATAACCTGTAATTGGAGTGGCACACAGCCTGTGAGCAACTAGCCATAGGTCTCCTGGCCTTTAGCACACGACCCAGAGGGCTATACAGCAAAGTAGAGTCTACAGCTTTTCTGATGAGGCAGTCAGTCTACATGTTTTCAGTAGATTATGAAGCACGAGAGCTTTGAATAATCAATTCCTTTTCAACATAAGCTTGTGTGAGTTTCCAACTCTGAAAGTTGGGGGAACGAGGCTCTAGAGAGATTTTACTTTATCATTAGAGAGGTCCAAAGATAAGTTTCTTGTAAAAATTACAGTTTGCTACAAAGAGATATCCAGAGCAGGCAGTTGGAGCACATCTCTATTAAGGAGCAAAATTAAGGTACAGGAGTAAAACCCACCCTCAGAAGTAATTCTTCAGAGCTCCAATGGCACCCTATGCTGAGAGCAGTGGGGCAGGGGCACGGTGAGCCTCCAAAATGGCACACGTGGCAGGACTGGGCCACAATCAGCTCCATGCAGAAGTATATGCAGAAATGAACTATGTTTTTGCCTAATGTCAATAGCGCACAGCGCATCCCCTTCAGCTCTCAGCCTGTTTTGGCTGTGCTGATGGTCCAGACCACACAGCTGGCCATGACACTAAGCAGCCCAAAGGTAAGGGCATGCATGGCACAGGAACAGAAGCTGGAACTGCTGCACGGACACCCAGAGAGCTCCTGTCTCCATGACTGTCAATCAGCCCCTTCCAGCAGACCATTAAAAAATAAATTTACTTCCCAGAGCTTCAAAGCTTTTCACAGGTAAAAGGTATTCCGCATGAAAAGCACTTTCTCATGAAACTCAAAGGAGTGTGGCCTATTAGCTCTGACCCAACCCATAGATCTGCAGGACTAATAGAAAACCCTATCAGGCAATCAGTTGACAAAATCATACCATCTGCTCAAGACAAAAGTAACAGAACATTAAAGGCACAGACTGAGAGGCAAAAACAGTGCTTGAGAGCTTACAGGGCACCATTCCCCAATAGCTTCAGTGCTGTCAGTGCTCCGAGCTATACGATTATCATATTTAAATGGATTCCTCCTCCACCTATTTCTCTCTAAAACAGACGTCTGAAGCCTATTGACTCGCTTCTCCAATGCTATAAACCCTTGATTTTAAGGAGGGCATAAAAGCATTTGCAGGCATAAATTCTGTCAGCTTTGCACCATAAAAACTTTAAGGTCCTTTTGACAGTACTGTCCATTTGCCCTTTATACTTCACTCAGAGATTTTTTTAGCAGAAGACTTTCACTGCTAATTCAGATGCCTGAGGCTTGATCCCAGTACCTGACAGTTAACATCTTGCCCTGAGTAGAAGCTACTGCCAAAGGCTGCTTTCCCAGATTGTGGTGTCAATCCTAAAATTAGCAAAGCACGCAATTTTGCTTATTTTTCTGCTCTATAAACTCCGCATTATTCACATTAGGTAATTTTATTTGCACCTTTCAGAGAGGCACTCCATTTTCACACCCACGTTCGCCCCAATTTAATAACATCCAAAAACGGCATTCCTTAGCGACACGCGATCGCGTAGCCCGACCGAGATTTTCACATAACACCTCCAGCACGCAGGGACTTCTTCCTCCATCTCACAGTTGGACAGAACCAACCATCCCCACTGCGGGTGGCGACGCGCGGAATCCGACCCGCCCCGGGGCAGCGCCGCACGGGGAGGGCAGCGGCGCCGCTCCCGGTTGTACAGCGCCACCTGCCGGCCGCGGCGGCTCAGCGGGAGCAGCGCCTGAGTGCAGCTGCCCCGCGGCCCTCGGAACTCAACAGCGGGGCTCTCGGAATCGAATTGCGGGGCTCTCGGAATCTCGAAGCCCCAGCACCGCACGCGTCGCTCCTTCCCGAGCGCTGACGCTGCTGCGTTGGCGACAAAGAAGGAGAGAAGGTAAGGGAGAAGAGCGGCCCGCGGTGTTTGCGAAGAGCTGTGAACGCTTATTTAATCATCTCTCATCGGATGGAAAATGCACGCAGAAATACAGCCTGCGGTCGCTCATTTCACATGTGCAGCGCCGAGAGGATGACTCCCCGGAAGAAC